TGCAAAATTTATGGTGATTTATGCTAGTGACCGCAAAAGATAGATGTAAAGCAACAGCCATTCATACGGTTAATCATCTGAGTAATTCAAGTCCGGTGCAAAAATGCACGATCGCACGGGCCCGCCTGGTGCGTTCCAGCCTGGGTTTTTTCAGTGTGCATCTGCTAAATTTTAACATAGAGTGCGTTCAAATTTTTATTCAAATTTTGCTCATTCAAGTTTTAACAAAGATGCCGTTTCAACCGTGCTCATTTTCTGGGACGGAAACAACAAAGCCACAAACAAGCTGTGTCCCATTCATTTGCTTGACTCGTCGAAAATGTCGTTTTTCTCATCCATAATTTCTTTCTCTCTGCAGTCCAGTTATCTTTATTTTAGCTCGCTCTAAAACAATCTTTAGAAAAAGAACCACTGCTAGCAGATCAATGATTGGTTGAATGTGTCGAAGTAACTCGAACTAGTTCCCCATCCCGCTGTCTTTTAAAGAAAGCAAAGTGCAGAGGAGCTTTACTCCTTAAGCGTCGGCCAATAGACGAGATTTTCTAATGTAATCATCCGGAAATTGCAAAAGCTAATTTTCCAAAGGCTTTCCGGAAAAGTCTAGTTATACGACCCGTGTTCTTCTTTTCAGGAACTAAAACTGTATATTGTCTTCTAGTCACATACATATACATCTCTGCGGGAAAATTTATTTGCATCACTTTTACAGTTCCTAGATGCTGGAAGAGAAATATGGAGTGTATTTTCTCCTCAAGTTTGATAATTTCTTGATGGTTGTTGAAATTTGACCTTTTTTTAACTGCCAACCGATAAGAGATTTTCTTTTGACTACATGGCTGTAATCAATCTATAATTTTGAAAGTAGAATGTAGTTACCGCCTTGCTGAAAAGGCAGCATGTGTCCTGAGTTCCTTCATTCGTTAGAACACTGTCAAATTGTTTTGGTTGCAGGTGGTAGACAATTTGTTAAACGATCTCACCAAATTGCCACTGAAAGCTGTATCCATTATGGATGGTGGCACTCAAGTTAAACTCATTTTTACTTATGAGAACGATCAACAAGCTGTTTTCAAGCCCATGCGGTAAAAAATGTATTTGTTTCTTCAAAAGTTTAGTTCAATGTAACTGAATGCTTTAATTTGCATAAATATACTGTAGCGTTCGAAGGAAAGGGAGGCGCAAAGTGAATTATGGTGCGGTTTTATTTTTCATTTATTATAGCTTTTAAAATTTTATTGTTAATGTGGGATCTTATGTTACTGAGACGCATCCACATGTCAAACACTACGCTAAAATTCTTTCTTAAGTTTTATGTCACTCATCGTTCATAATACCATGTTCACTCTCTTTCAGAGTGACCATTATCTTTCAGACAGTTACCGCTTGCTTATAGGTCATTGTTTTTTAGCAAAACAAGCAGTATGTCCCAATTGTTAGATTTTATTTTCTGCGGTGGGCGTAACGGTATCTTGAACGCAGAGTCTAAATGCTTATGTAGTTATAGCTATATAATTAGGGAAAAAGTACTCCGAGTGTCAGTGGCACAGTTACTATCTCCAAATCAAGTGTTAGCGCCCCTAATTTCGTTAGTAATCACGTTTCGCATTCATAGGTCACAGCTTCAGTTTTGACAGTGGCAGCTTGTAAAAATGCTTTGAAAGTTGTGCCAGCTGGCACCTCTTTCACATAGTTTCTTTGGCTACAGAGTGGACGCGACACGTACTTTCTAGTCAGGGTAGACATAGCTGCCAACTTTTTTAAACTAACTCCAACAGCGTGCATTGTCGTTGCGATCTTATCGGTTCCCGAGGTCACCTATGTTTTTGGTTCCTTGATTTCCATGCACACTTCGTCCGTCTTGGTCTTACGGCACCTCGTTCGTTTCGTATGTGGTATCAACAATTGGAGCTGTCTTATTGGCGATTTGAGCAAAAAGGAACTTGCCACTACATAGATCTACTAGTCACCTAGGAATATGGTTTCAGATTCGGTCGTGATTATGAAAGCGATCCAAATCACTTCTATTTTAGCGATTTTGAACGTCATAATGCTGAAGTTGCAACTTTCCATATCGACAAGTATGTTGTCCTGTTTCTGAAAAATACTGGACTAAAATAAAGTTACCAGCAAGGTGGCTTCTGAAAAAAAATATACTCCTTTAAATAATGCGAATAATTTTTGCGCTGAAACTGAAGCTGAGTTAGACCTCGTCTATCATTATGCGTTTTTGCCGTACAACGCTAGAGCGCTGCAACAGGCAGCAAAAACGCATATTGCAACGACCCTGTCAGTGTGTGTATGTTT